ACATTAAAGGTGTTAATTGAGTCATGTGTAACTTACTTTTTTTTTAGCATAGGAATGATAATCACTTATGATTGAGATAATGATTTCCAAGAAAATTGACCAATAAATAAACCAGAATTCTTTTAGAAATATTTTCTGATTATGAGGCTAGCACAAATATTCTCAAAAAACTAGCTAAATACTATTATATTGGAGGAGACACACACTCACTCACATTAACAAATACATGCATACATACACAATAATGAGAAAATACTAAAGAGTCATTAAATGCAGTTTTTCTCAGTCTTACCCCCACCCCAATGTCAGCCTCATTCTACAACAGTGGCACCATACAGCATTTGTCCTTTTGTGATTGAGATATTTCGCTCAGCATAATGTCCTCCAGAGTCAACCATTTTGAATAATATTGCATGAGTTCCTTGTTTTTCAATGCACAGTAGTAGTCCATTGTGTGAATATACCACAACTTCTCTATCCATTCGTTTGCTGATGGGCACTTAGGTTGTTTCTAACTCCTTGCTATTGTGAACAAAGCCATATTATACATGGGTGTGCATATATCTGCTTGGATGTCAGTTATGGCATTTGTTTTATAAAATTAGTCACCAGTGGACCTTGCCCATAATTACCCTGTCTTTTTGTTCATATCCTTCCCTTTTCTTTCCTCCCTCCCTCCACTCACCAAACTGTGCAACACAGAGCTTTCCTTCCTACCACTCCTCAGCCCCCTCCCATCTCCCTCTCCCATGAATGCTTTACTAAGTTAATCTTCTATTGTTTGCAATAATGACCTTATGCAGTATTTGTATCAGACTCCTGAGTGCTGCATAGTTTTAAGTGTGTGAATAGACCCGAATTTTTCAATCCATTTGGTTGAGGTTGGACATTTGGATTATTTCCATGTTCTTGCAATTGCTGCTATGAACACTGATGTCCAGATCTCCATTTGTGCCAGTTCTAATTTCCTTGGAGTATATTCCTAGTAATGGAATAGCTGGGTCATATGGAATTTCTATGTTTAATTTTTTTTAGGAAATTCCAAACTGCCTTTCCAGGGTGGTTATTCTGCAAAATTTACAGGCCCACCAACAGTGTATGAGATATCCCACCTCTCCACATCCTCTCTAAATATTGCTTGCTGCCTTACCAAACTTTCCCACTGTTAATGGAGTGAGATGGTATCTCATTGTGGTTTTGATTTGTGCCTCTCTTATTGCCAGTCACTCTGAGCATTTCCTCATATTCCTGTTGGCCTCCTGAATGTCTTCCTGTGTGGAATGTCTTTCCATGTTTGTAGCCCATTTTGTAATTGGATTATCAGCCTTTTTCTTCTGGAGGTCCAGAAGTAGTCTGTAAACTTTTTTTATGAGACCCTTGTCTGAGATGTTATTGCCAAATGTTTGTTCCCAGTTGGTAGGTTTTTCATTACATGCTGTTGGGGGGAAAAAAGCTTTTAATGAGCAAGAGATTTAATCTTTAGAAAGTCCTGTTCATCAATTTTATCCATTCCAGAATGTGCATTTCTGTCTGTATTTGGCAGTCTCTTTATACCACACAGCCTAGGCCTCCTAAGCTTGGTCCCACTCTCTCTCTTATGATCTTTAGGGTTTGGGTTTTATTCCCATGTCTCTGACCCATCTTGCGTTTTGTATTTGATACAGGATATGGATCCTGTTTAAGCTTTCTGCAGGTAGCAGTACAGTTTTGCCATCGCCATTTGTTGAAGAGGTTGTCACTTCCCCACTTGATAGGTTTTGTTTCCTTTTCTAATATAAGTTGATCATAGAGAGGTTCACTTCTGAGTTCTTGATTCTGTTCCATGGGTCTATGTCCCTGTCATTATATCCGTACCACACTGTTTTGGTTATTATCAATGTGTAGGAGGTTTTAGAGCTACGCCTCCCACTGCATTTTTCATTTTTCAGAAGTGCTTTGCTTTAGTTGAGGTCCCTTTCTTCTCCATATAAACTTGACAATGTCCCTTTTGACCTTCTTGAAGAATGAATTTGGTATCTGTATTGTGTTGAACATGTAGATTGCTTTAGGTAGGATTACCATTTTCATTGTATTTAGTTGTCCTATCCATGAATAGGGTACATTTTCCAATTTATTTAGGTCTTATTGTGTCTTGGATAAATGTTCTGTAGTTTTCTTTGTATATGTCTTTTATGTCTCTAGTTAGGCTCACTCTCAAATATCTCAATTTGTGGTTGGCTATTGTAAATGTTATTGCTTTCTTAGTTACTTTCTTGTGTTTTCTTTGTTACTGTAGAGGAATCCCACTGATTTTTGGATATTGACTTTGTACCCTGCCACTTTACTAAATTGGTCTACGATCTCAAACAGGTTTTTTGTTTAGTCCTTGGGATTTTCTGTATGCGCTATCATATCATCAGCATATAGTGACAATTTAACCATCTCTTTGAAGTCTGGATGCCTTTTATTTCTTTCTCTTGTCATATTGCCCTAGCAAGTATTTCCAATACAATATTAAATAGAATTGATGATAATGGGCATCCTTGCCCGGTCCGCTGTTTATAAGGACTATTTTAAGTCTTTCTCCATTGAGAAGAATATTGACTCTTGGTTCTGCATATATAATTTTCATTATGTTTCTATTCCAATTTTGCTGAATGTCTTAATCAGGAAAGGTTTTTTATTTTATCAATTTATCAGTTGCATCAATTGCTAAATTTTGTAACATTCTTTTTATTTTCTTTGTTAATATAGTAAACTACATCAATCATTTTTCTTAAATTACACCATCCTTGCATACCTGTTATGAATCCCACTTGGTCATAATGAATTATTTTTTTGAAGTGTTTTTTGGATTCTGTTGGCTAGGATTTTGCTAAGGATTTTTGCCTCTATGTTCATGAAGGATATTGTTGTTTAGTTTTCTTTTTTTGGTAATATCTTTGCCTAGTTTTGGTATTAGGGTTATGCTTGCTTCATGGAATGTGTCTGGGTGTGTTCCTTCTCTCTCTCTTTCTCTCTCTCTCTCTTTTTAAAAAGTAGAATTGGTAATAAATTTTCTCTGAATGTTTGGTAGAATTCAACTAGGAATCCATGTTGCCCAGGACGTTCTGTAGAAGAGTCTTTTTATGACCTACTCAACTGTTCATTCTCAAAGATTTTTCCCTATATTTACTTTTTAAAATTTCTATCACTTTTTAGTAACTACTTTGACAAGAACTATGTTATTGCTATTGTTTGTTGATATCAAGTTGGCTCTGAGTCATAGTAACTCTACAACAGAGCAAAACACTGGAGAAAAAAAAATCGTCAATAATATTTCTGTTGTGATATTAATCTCAAAAACATATAGAAAACTTCAACACCTTCATGAAAAGGAACATTTATTTTTTATAATTTAGTTATTTGACATTTTAAATTCATATAGCTCTATTTGATTATCTATTTCAGAAAAACTATACACTTATATTTCCCCTGATGTTATTTTCCAAGAACTTTATACTTTTAGGTGGTCATGTAGGCCTTTAATACAGTTGAATTATTTTAAGTGTATGATATAAATGATGATCCCTGTTTTATTTTTCTGTAAGTGAATGTCTAGTTCTGTCAGCACCATTTGTCAAAGAGAATGCTTCTTTCCGTTGAGTGTACTCTGATTCTTGTTGAAAATCAGGTTCCAAAGAGGGATTTTCCACTATATCCTATTAGGTTATTTCCTGACCACTGAACCATTTCTATAGTGTTTTGACTATTCTCTGAAAGTGCTCATAGGCAAATATATCATTTAAAAAATTTAGATTACCTGACCATAGGAATCGTGATTTCAATCACATGAGTGCCAACAAAAAAATGGACAATAAGGAATATAGAGTTTGCTCTGACTTAAATTTTTCACAAAGAGAAGAAAGATATAGAGAAGACCTTAGTTGGTTCTGCCTAGAGACACACCTTCAATCTTCAAATATCTGCACTGTTGAGTAGATAGTCCTTCTTCTAGTTAAAATTGCTAATTGAATTCCCATATTTTTTAGACTGAAAAATGGGGTTAGATCTGTTGGATACAATGAGATTGGCTCAGAATAGAGCATGATTCGGAGCTATAGGGTACATAGGGTTGCTATGAGTGACAGGTGACTCGATGGCACATAACAACAAGGTACTAGAAGAAGGAAGGGCAATCTCTATTAGAGCAATTAACTACCTCAGAAAACCCACCTAAGAGTCAGCTATGGGTCAGTCACTACTTGGCAGTACACAACAGCAATAACAACAATAAAGTCTTATAGTACTTTGATTTTTGGCTAACGGTAAGGAGCTGTACTGCCAACCCAAAGGCAAGAGTTTCAAATCCATCACCTGTTTCTCTGTGTAATGCTTTTGACAACCCTTTGGAGAGTCAGGTATTGGTCATTTCTGACTCGATATACAACAAAACAAGTAATATGATACACATTTAAATTTCTCTTATATTTTACTAACATACAAAGGGTTTAGAATATTTTAAAAAGTCTGATAATGAAACATTTTTTTAAGAGAAACTAGTGATAAAACAAAATGAATAATCTCAATGTACTAAATTTAAATGAGCAAAGAAAGTGGGTACATATTAAAAATGCATTACAGTGGTAATCGATACAAGATGATAGAGAATTGGTTACATTTTGTTTGTTGATTCTAATACATTTTTATGACAGTGTGTGTTTAAATTGTTACCTTATCAAATAAAAATTATAGACTCAGAATTATGCTGTATATTTAATGATCATTAATGCCAGAATGAGCTAGCAGAAAAACACTGTATAAAATAAATGGCAGCGTGGACTAAAGTTATCTAAATTATTCAGATAGTATATTCAGTCATGAAGTAAAAGATGATGTTAAATATTCATCCACCTTGTAAGCTGTAAAAATTGCTCAAATATATGATTTAATAATGTTAAATAATCACACACTATTTTATCTGATGCCTATAGAGTTTCAATATCATTGCTAAATATATTTTCATACCCCCATTTATCTTATCATATGTGTTCTGAGGTAATTTTGATACTCCATAACTTTCTCATTGCATTTTTCACTTCTTTGTTCCTCAGTGTGTAGATGAGTGGGTTGAGAAAGGGTGTCCCAATGGTATAAAACACCGTGACCATCTTGTCCATGGCATATGTGGTCGGCGGTCGTGTGTATATGAATATACATGGACCAAAGAATAAGACAACCACGATGATGTGAGAGGTGCAGGTGGAAAGGGCTTTTCTCCTTGCTTCTGCACTGTGGTTTCTCAGTGAATGTAAGATAATAATGTATGAGATCATCAGGAGCAAGAAACCACTTGAGCAAACTACCCCACTATTAGACACCAACTGTATATTGATGATATAAGTGTCCATGCAGGCAAGCTTTAGCAAAGGTTGCAAGTCACAGCAATAATGATCGATTAAATTGGATTCACAAAAGGGTAGTTTCAAGACCAGAGCGTTCTGAGTTGTAGCGTGTATGAAGGAGCATATCCAGGCCAAAATAATCATGATGACGCAGACCTGTCTTCTCATAATGGTTGGATAATGCAGGGGCTTACAGATGGCCACATAGCGATCAGCAGCCATCAGCATGAGGACTAAGATCTCCATGCAGCCAAACAAATGCATTGCAAAGACTTGTGTCATGCATTCATTGTAGGATATGGTTTTCTTTGCAGAGAGAGCATCCACAAGAAGTCTAGGCGCTGTGGTGGTTGAAAAACAGGTATCGGCAATGGATAAATAAAATAAGAAGTAGTACATGGGACTCTCAAGATTCCGACTGAATTTAATGGTCACAATGATGAGTGTATTTCCAAGCACAGTTCCAGTGTAGAAAATGAAGAAGATTATGAATACCATTTTCTGCCTCAAAGGATCCTGTGTCAATCCCAGAAGTATAAATTCAGTTACACTCTTATTTTGCCACATTCTCTCAATAACTATGGTGAAAGTAGAGGTTAGAGATCCTTAGTCTAGAAGGAGAAAAGAAATCACTTTGTAAGATAAATATGACATGTGGAACTTAAATACTTCTGCCCATTTAAAGCAAGATTTAACTTCCTGAATATTGAGAGGGGTTTTTTTTCAATAAAGTGGAATCTAAAATGCGTCTCAATTTACCTTGTTGAAAATGATGTTAACAGAAAAACATGATTTAAAAAATGGTTCTTCAAAATTTATAAATATCAATGTTAGTAATCTCATGAGAAGATAATTTCCTGAACTCAATATGTTTCTTTAGTTTTAAACAAGCATTGCAATATTAGCAAAAATGTGTTGTAAAAATAGAAAAATTTTGAGTATAATTCAGCGTGACTTCATAAACCCAAATGTAGTCATCACTTGTAAAATTGTACCATATGTTGATGTCAATAGGTATATTCTCCTTGTTTTCTTCAAATACATTTTATAAAATTTCTTACGAAACAAGAAAAGAGTAAAGATTATACTTCAGGGAAAAGACATTAGCATAAGTCAAGTGGCTGACCATTCTGTCCAATATTAAGTCTATATCTTATACACTAAGAATATTAAAAGAAGCTCTAAGAGCTAATCACACTAGAAACTTTTACACTTAATTCTTGTATATACTCTTGAAGGTATCATATCTAAAATTCAAGTAATATATGTATATGTAAAAATAAACCAATATGTATTTGTATCTAACTATATGTCCACGTGAAGTTCTGGTGGCCTAATAGCAAAAACCTGCACTGCAATCCCGAAGGCATATGGTTCAAGGCCTCCAGCAGCTCTGTGGGAGAAGGATAGGCAGTCTCTTCCCATGTGACTATCTGCCTCTGAAAACCTGCCAGAGGGTCAGCTATGGGACAGTTCCAACTCTATGGTACACAACAACAATATATGTCCAAGTATACAACCGGACCCAAGAAATAGTATTTTCAATCACCTGCATGTAAAAAAGCATACAGTGAATGAGGTAAATTGAAGAAGGGCAGATACATTTGAATTAGAGTATTTGTAATTAATATTGAATGTATCGTTGACTGCTAGAAGAAGAAACAAATCTGTCTTAGAGAAAGTACAACTGAAAATTCTATAGAAGTGAGAATTATAAGACTTTAAGTTACTTTGGACATGGAGAGATCAATCTCTGGAGAATTATTGACCAATTCGTTGCCACAGTAGATGTGAAGATGGCAGAGAAAAAGGTGTTCTTTTGTTCTGGGGTAAAACCTGTTGTGATCTTAAAAGCATTTGAAAGCACTTATCAACAATATCAGTAACATATGAGAAACTCTATATATTATTTTTGCACATATTCATATTTAATCTCAAAATGGCAATATGATAAAAATTAAAGTGATATTCAAACTGGCAAAATATATTTAGAGCACATATGGCAGGAATAAATTTAGCAATTTATCCCAAGGAAAGGTCAACACCAATTATGGAGGAAAATGTTGAGAGACCTATGTTGTTGTTGTTGTTGTTGTTATGTGCCATCAAGTTGCTTGCAACTCATAGTG